TGTCCCAGAAGGCCTTGGAACAACTGGTGGCAGCTCTGAAAGAAGAGTCGAGACAAAGGCAGGATGAGCTAGAAGAAGCTGCGAAGGCTGCCAATGATGCTGGAGAAGAAGCCAGGAAGGCAAAGATTGCACGTCAGACTACTCAGACAGAACTACAGCAAGAGGCAGAATTGGTGCAGCAAGAGCTGAATGCAGTGTTGTCTCAGCAACAACATGAGCAAAGTGCAGCGCAGCGAGCAGAAGCAGAGGCAAGCAATCTGCGCCTGGAGATGGAAGAGGTTCAAAAGGTCAGCGAAAGTGCCAAGGCACGTGAGGGTCAGTTGGAAGCCAAGGTCCTGAAAATGCAAGAAGACATGTTTCTTTCTGAGGGCAAACACAAAGAAGTACAGTTCGAGGGACGACTAGAGCAGCACAAGTTTGAGGAGGAATGTCTGATGCTGAAAAAGCTGCTTGCAACCAGTGAACAGGCCCTGGAGGTCAAGAAAGACTTAGCCGATTGGCAGGATCCGTTTTCAAGAGATCATTCCAACGTTGCCACCCGACAAGCGGTTTCAGCCACTTTGGAAGAACAGCTGAATGAGTCCAGACAATGGTTTTTGCAACTGAAAAGTGAGCTTCAGAGAAAGCTCGAAGCCATAGAGGTTGCCAATGCAGGTTCGGCCTCTAATTTGCAGAAAGTAAGCCAAGTAGAAGCATTGCTCCGAAATTTCAACTCCGAGTACCAAAAAGATGTGAAAGGACATCTCTCAACATTGACTGAGAAGTTTGACAAGTCCAGACAAGAACTTGCAGAAGCGGAGAGGAAGGAAACAGAGATAAAAAAAGAAGTGGAGGAGGCTGTTAGGGGAAGGAGATCAGCAGAGGAAGTGGCCGAATCATTGCAGGCTCAATTGAGGCAGAAGGACGATGCTGACGAAGAAGCTAGGAAGTCGCAATCAGAAAAGCAAGGCTTGCAGACTGATCAAACAGAACTAGAGAAGAAAACAGAATTGATGCGGCAAGAGTTGAATGCTGTTCAAGATGAAAGTGTGATGTGGCAGCAAAAGCTTTCGTCCAGTGAAAATAGGATGGCGTTTGCCCGCTCTCGCTTTCAGAAGGCGATTGCATCGGAAGAGGAGATGGAAAGTCGGGAAACAGAGTTGAAGGAAGAAGTGCAAGAGGCTGTTGGAGAACAGAGATTAGCAGAGGAAGCGGTCAATTCATTACAAGCACGATTGGAGCAGAAGGAGAACGAGTTGAGACAAAGGCAGGATAAACTGAAAGAAACTGCGAAGGCTGCCACTGATGCTGAAGAAGAAACCCAGAAGCTGCGTTTAGAACTAGAAGCAAAGATTGCACTTCAAACGGAAAAAACAGAACTAGAGGTGTATGCCAAATTGATGCAGGAAGAGCTAAATGCAGCTCAAGCGGAACAAGTGGCTTTGCGGCATACTATAGAAAGGACAGAAACTGGCGAAGGCCATCTCAGGCAAGAACTGGCTGCGGAAAAGGCGGAGAAATCAGCAGAGTGCAAACGCTGTCCAGCCTCCAAGGGTGAGGCCGCGCAGACCACTTTGGCTGATGAGAAGATGAGGAACTTGGAGGAGGCTTTGTCGAAAGCACGGTCTCAGCACGACAAGGAGCTGGCAGCTTCAAGAGGAGAGATAGAAGCTTTAGAGCAGAAGGGCTTCCAGAAATCTTTCTATCGCACGCTTTCCCAGGCACAAGACAAGGAGTTGGCGGCTTTAAGAGAACAGATCGACGTTTTGGAGCGCAGAGAGCAAAAAAGGCAAAGTGCAGAGGCTCGGTGGGAGCGTTTGGGAGCGCTTGGGAGACAGGGGCTTATTTTCGATGAGAGCAACCCCATTGATAAGCCATCAACATTGATTCACTTGTTCGAACGAAATGCCGCCGCAACACGAAATCTCCATTACATGCCCTTTGAACTCTCCATTGGAGGGTGTGCTCTTGCCAGCTCACTGTGTGCATGAACAGTGCAAGACATGGAGGTTCAAATGTTTTGCCATGGGGAACCAGCCCAACGAATGTTCTTTGTACATGAAAACGTGGCAACAAACCGTGGGCCGCACCCTTTTCCTCAAAAGGAACGTTGAGCCTATAGGTCGTAGGCATCTATGGTTAAAACTTCATACCCTGCTTTTTCGAGGGTGCGCATCAAAATGCGTCGTTAACTGACTTCCCAGTCCCAGTCCCAGTGCACTTATATACTCGGTTTCTTCGGGCTCTGGCTCGCCATCATTCTCTTGCGGCTCACCACTTCTGTTCTCTTCATCTTGCTGCAAGAATCTTGCTATATTTCATCTTCTATTGCTTTCCCTTTCGTTCTCTCTTCTTGGTCCTGCTGCCTCAATGGCCATCCTCGGTGGACCATAGTGTGCTGCAATCCACCCATCCCATTCTGACTCTTCGTTCGCCGGCAATCTCTGCTCTCATGGCCCTTTCTGATGTGAACTCTTGACGTATTGGCATAGACTCTTGACGTAGTCCATCACCTCCGTCACCAGGATCATCCTCTGCAACTCTGAACATCTCTAGTCCAGCGGGAATGTCTTCGTCTGCTGGGTCTTCCTCAATCAGTGTGAACTGCCTCACCTTGATGATGAAGTAAACCTCTACTGCTCTATTCCATGATTTTGCTCGATATTCCCTAGTTGGTAGGCCTGATAGGCCTCTCCTTCAAGTTCTCTGTACTCTTCTTCATCCTTGATGTGCTCTGTAAGGCTACCATAGTAGTCATGCTCTCCTCAGAGATCTCATCTTCTTCCCTCGTCATGCTCTCACCATACCGCTACGATGCGCGTCTCCCGCTTGTCCCCGTCGTCATAGGTCGCAGTCTCCACCAATGACTCCTTTTCTATCGTCTCATCTTCTGACTCTGGTGTTGCAACGGCCCAACAACTTCTTTGAACGAAGTTCACCTGTATCACTGGCTCAGTTCACCCATGAATGCTGCTTCCTCTTGCTCCACTGCTTCCTGGCTGGTTTCTTGCTCCTGTCCAGTTATGCCACTCATCTCTCTGCTGGTTCCATCTTGTCAAATCAACTCTGTCGTACTCCTCATCTGTGCTGTCTTCCCAGTATCCGCTATGCGTGCCAGTCTGCCCTGCTCGCGTGGCTCTTAGCAGGTCCCAGGTCGTTCAACTTGTACAATGCTCGAAGCAGAATCACAACGACAATTTCACCAATGCCATGACGCAAAGGATCTGCTCCAATGTCTCTGTACCTGTTGCTCTTCTTGTTGCAAGACCACTTGGCTGCTGATCTTCTCTGCACTGATCCTCTGCATCAACCTCACATGTAGCTCGGCTCAAGGCTGCATCACTAAGCAGCACCATCATCTTGGTTAGATCCACCAAGATTGTCCTCTTCACCTCTTCATGAGATGGTCAGTCACTCTGGCCACTTCTTTGTCTTCTCTTCCAACAATGTCATCAACGCGCACCGCACCAAAAGAATCACATCCTGGCCCTTCCACAACTTCGCATGGCTTGAGGCAGGGCTCAATGAGACTCCTCCTCAAATCTTGAAACCATTGTGAGGTGGGATCCGTCCTAAGATCCATTCTTGAGGTAGCTCAAGTCGATCTACTTTGACCATCCTCGGCTGGTTGCAGATCGGCGTCTTTCACATCCATGGTGATCATCTTCCAGAGATAGGTGGAACCCTCGATGTCGATGCTGTACCTTCCTCAGCTTCAGGACTGCTTGGAGCAACCTTCTGGAATTTCTTCTGTGTAGACCCGAGGCAGTTTTCTTCGACATCTCATCTTCCACATCTCAGGACTTCTCGGACTTGCTGGTGCAATGTCTGCCTCACGTCTTCAACTGTTGGCTGTTCCAGGCTATCCAGTTCTGCCGGTGCAGTTGCCAAAACTTCACAGATCGGTCACCAATCTTCGGTCAAAGGGTGTCGGCCCCCCTTATCGTCCTCGTCCAATTTCAGACCTGATGCAGTCAGTGTTTCCGAGCCACAACCCAGCTTGTTTTTTCTGGTCACCGCCATTGGCCCTCTTCACACGGCTCCAAGACCCTTTATCCAAACACTGGCACCTTCCCGCAGTACTTTCGTCCTGTTCTGCTTTCATAGGCCGTGGGTCCTCCTCCTTGTCTTCTGTAGTGCGTGAGGAGCCAACCAGCATGTCTCATGGCCGCAAGAACACCGGTGATGAAGGCTTTATGTGCATCTGGCATCCTTCTTTCACCCTATGAATCAAAGTCCTTGCAAGGCCTCTGACTGTCTGGATCTCATGCTCCGCACGGCCATTGCTTTGTGAATCTCGACCGCTGATCTCACGGCCATCGCGTGGACGCCCAATCTCCTCGCCTGCAGCACGGCCTGGCCAGTTCTCATGGACGGTTCACCGTCTCCTTGAGGATCATTCTTGAATACCCCAAGCTCCCGATGAACCTTATCACCTGCTCTGTCATGAACTTCAAATGGGCCCTGCCTTTGCCCAGTGTTGGCACGCGCAAAAAGGCATGTGACTAATCATTTGTCAACAAGTTCTTCCTAGGAGATAGATCCTGAGATCTTCTTTTACCTCCACGTCGACGACTTCATCATCTCCTCGACTGAAGCAAAAGTCCATAGAGACTACAGGCATGTCTGGCTTAGCCTCCTGCCTCACTGCATGCCGGTCGCTCAAATCATAGTCATCACGACCTCTCCCAGCAATGCAGTGTTGGCACCACTCCTGCTAAGGAAGTTGCGTCAGCTCGTGTACTTGCCTCTCTGACTTCGAAGGTATGCGTGACACCCTCTGTCCTCTTGGTTCCTCACCTTCATCCATCTTCATTCTCTGAAACTCCTTGCGAGACAACTCGATGCTCAAATTCTCAGAAAAATGCTGATAATGGTGGACCAAACACCTTCCATGCTTCTGCTTTGTTCTTCCCGCGTCCAAGGCCACATTTCTTCAACGCTTTCCTCCAATTTGTTAGAGATGAGCTGGCCAGCTGGCCCTGTAAGCTTCTCCTTCGACCTCAACTTCACTTATCTCCTCAACCAAAGGCGCTTTCTGTTGGCCCCATGGATCACCATTTTCTTGCTCCATCTGCTCTCCAACCTTGTCTTCCTCCTCCTCTTCATATCCATCTTCGAAGCTCTTCCCAAACTAGCCTTCGACCGCCTTTGCACTTCCTTCTTTCCTCTTCTTCTCAATGTTGATCTTCATCTCCTCAACGTCAGGTCTGAACGGGTCAATGTTGAACTTCATCTCGACTGATCACTCCCAAAGCTGTGAAGTCATCCACCGTCTGATGGAAGAAGCTGACGGTCTTCGTCTCCTCACCTTCACATTCTTATATCTCCTCGTCTTGGCGCTGTTCAGATCTGTTCAACCATCTCCACCAGCTCCCAAAGGCCGTTCTTCCAAATGATGGTCGACCGGTATGGGAAATCCACTCTGTTGAACTGAGGGAATGAATCTTTACAGCGCTTGGTGCTGGTCACTACCAGGAATGGCACTCTTCTCTGCTGTGAGGTGCCATCGAGCCACTTCCAACACGACTCGACCAAACCCTGAAAGGCTATTGTGATTTCTCTGACCTTTTTCTCCTCAAACCGGCTCCTCTATCTCTCCTTCAACCTTCCGAATTCGAGCTTCTGCTGTGAGTGAGTCGTGCCTGAACTGAAGTCATTTGCTGAACAGTCCGTGAGTCAACCTCACAACCTCGCCGAAGCACGGTTCAGCTACATTGGACCAAGCAAAGCTCTCCCTCAACTGTAACAGTACGACCGCATCTCACCACCTTTCATCAATCCTTCCTGAGCATCCCTGACTTGTGCTCCTCCTTTGAACGACATAGGAAGGACTGAAATGTCAGCTCCAGTATCAAGGATGATGGTCGTCTCCTTGCCTTCCTTGATGCTCCTCACGAGAGTAGCCCTCCTCCTGTGTCATCCTGCTGCGTCAGGTCCTTGAAGTCCATAAAGTAGGCATCAGTTTGAACATGATCCAATCTTCATCATTGTCACTGTAGGTGAGGTCGTAGGTCTTTGCCGCTTCCCCTTTCCTTTGTTGTCGTAGTTGGTGTATCCTCCATAGCCTTTACGCTTCTGCTTGCCTTTCGACTTGCCTCCTTTATACTCTTCCTTTTCCTTTGCCACCTTTCTCCTTGCCTGGCCTCATCTCCCTTGTCATGGTCCTTGGTGATTGCAAGCTCTCTGTGGGCCTATGATCCCCATGAAGTCGTGGTTCGTTCGGCAAGGACCCTTCTCTCTTGCTCTGTAAGTTCTGGTCCGATCTACTACGGGCTCCTGGCCTTACTACTAGGAGCGATTGGACGCTACTAGGGGCCCCTGGCATCGCTACTGGGAGCATTCTTACTGGGAGCAATTTTTTTTCTCTTTACCACTCGAAGCAACACTGACAGCTTTGTGTTGTCACTGATCTCCTCCTTGGCCACCTTCGCATACTCCTCTGCCAATCGCTCAAGACGGAGCTGCTCCAAGGTGGCTCAAATAGGCTTGCAGCAATGCAATCGACCTTGATCTGGTCTTTGGAGCCAGCTGGGTGGACAACTGTCTCCATACCTCATATGCATTCTGACCCTCAACAGCCCTCAACATTTTCAAGGGTCTATTCCGCAAGAGGCCCACCAGGATGGCATGAAGCTTTTCAGCTCTCACCTGCTCTTCTTTTGTCATGCTTCCTAGCCTTACCTCTTTGTCTGAACCTTCCATGGCAAACGTTTTGTTGTAGGGTACACGATCCAGATCTTAAAGGCCAGCCTCCAGTTCTGCCACTGCGTGATCTCCTCTTCCATGGTTGGAGCGAAAGGATCTGGAGGTCTTACAACCTTGCTGGCAGTTGCAAACCCTTCACAAATCTTTCTTTTCTCCTTTCTCTTTCACTTCTTTCAGCATCTTCACCACCTCCTGGGCCATTCCAGCGCCTTGAAGCTGCAACCAAAGCTCTTGCCACCTCAGCATCCATCTTCTTTTCTCCTTTTTCTTTTCCTTTCTCTTCCCTGGATCGGTTCTTTCTGCTCCCAGGGTATCTTTCTCGAGCCTCCACGGGTTGGCTCCGCTACCATGAAAACGTGGCAACGAACTGTGGGCCAGACCCTTTTCCTCAAAAACCTATAGGTCATAGGCATCTATGGTCACAACTTCACACTTCACTACATATCTTATGTAAGAAGATCCGTACAATGGTCTATGTTTACAATGTTTACAACCTGTATGTTCATCAGTCAATTGGGAAGCATACTCTGTCCGTTGCATGTGCTCTGGCAAGCCTCAGCTGGATGCAGGAGGTTTGGAGAGAGTATGCCATCCGAGAGTTGGTCCGACACTGCGAGGAGCGAAACGCCAGGCGGAGCATGCTTTTGGGTTTTCTCCGTTTTTCCCAGAGCCCTGTTTCAGCTGGATGTTTTTTTGACGATGTTTCCGGACGTTTCCAGCCTTGTCGCGCTGGCAAGCAGGTCAAACGTCAAACAGTCAAACATGTTATGTGTCCCTTCCTTCTGAACCTTTCATGAACTGAGTCCAGCTTGCAGGGATTATTGTGCTGCGCTTGAGCGAGCTTTGGCCATCGGAGTCCCTTTTGAGAAACTTCCTCATGTGTACAGTGCCCTGGCTAGTTGAATGGGCGTGCTGTGCATGTGACGAGTGTACAAGGAACAACTTCTGACAAAACAGATATCCCAACTCAGGCAATCCAGTTTACTCAGCTCAGAGACATAGTTCTCAGCTTATCACAATTGATGTAGCTCCACAAAGTTTGAAGTAGGTCCACAAGGCTCTCACAGATCCACTGGATTCACTTCGTTGCCAATCCTCGTCCTTCACCCAGGCATTCAACGTGTTGGGAAGGAGCTCCAGTTGCCAGATATGCGCTGTGGCGTCGTCACCATGCAGCTGTGCTTGATATTGGATTACACATCCAGCATGAAAGAGCACGTGGAGAATGTCAGGATGAGCGTCGCGCAAATCATGGACAACATCAGGAACTTTCAGGTACCTCTTCAGCCATATGCTCATGTCGAGCTGGAGATTGGAGCTGTTGCCTTCAACGATTGGGACACAGGTACGGTGCAACGTGACCGACCAGTAGTCGCTGCCTTCGGTGGCAAAGAGATCAGGAAAGAGCATCATGGTAGCTTGACAGAGAGCGATTTCAACCTGAATGGGCAGTTTACCAAGGATTCCAACAAGATTGTTGCATGGATGAACCAGGGTCTTGGAGACGGTGGCATGATTCCCGAGGAACTGACAGGTGCGTTGCTGGCAGCTTCTCATCTCAAGTGGTCTGCGCACAAAAGGCTGGCAATTGCCATTACAAACGCCCCGTGTCACGGAAAAGACTACAGCAACGCACCCCATGATGATTTTTGCAACAGTGATTCAGGATTGACTTGCACAGGGGTTCCAGAAAAGCCTCTTGAAAGACTACGAGATCAGGGAGTGAAGGTTTGCTTGTTCCACACAGGGCAGAAAACAGTGACCACGATGTGCGAGAAACTACAAGAGACGCTGCCAGATTTGGTCTGTGAGAAGCTGGTTCCTACCGAGATAGCCGCACGTGTTACTTCTTTACTGGAAGAGAACCTAAAGCTGCAGCCGTTCACATACCTCCTGAAGCCATTGTTATCGTCAAAGCAGATTTCTGAAGAATCGCCGCTGTCGCACGACATAAACATTGAAGCTGGTGGGATGGCGCAGAAGCACCACATTGGCTCCTTTTCAACAATTCAACCGTTTATATATTTGATGGATTTTTTTGGGCTCACAAGAGCAGGTAATTGTCAGAGAGCTCACAAGTAAGTGAGCTGAAGTTGCTGTTTGCGAAGGTAGCCTTGGCACCTCTAAATGTGTTGTTTTTACCCCAGATAGCCTCAGCTATTGGAGTCTGAGGGTGGGAGCCTCGTTCGTGTGACGTTGCTTTCAACATTTTGTGGCCCGGACGGTTCGCAGGTGACCCGAATGTGTGGCTAAGGCTGTACCGTTGGGGAAAGCTTTTTTGGAGGCGGTTTGGGATGGAAGCGTCAAGTGTCAGGTTCGTGTGAAATAGCGTAGACACTTAACATGTTGAAGTGTGGAGGATGATTGTGCTGTGCAGATGCAGCCTTTCGTGAGATCATCAGTTGCCTTCGCTGTTCCATTGGGATTGGCAGTTGTTGGAGGGCGGGGTCAAGTGGCGCTGTGCTGTAGGGGCTTGCTTTTCAGGCCTCTGCCTCAAAACTGTGTTTTCGTGACAAGTCTCCGCTAAAGCTGCGGCTTTGTTGATGTGAGTGTGCTCCGAAATCATTCCAAATGTGTGGTGCAAATTTTGCTGAAGACATGAAGATGTGAGTTTGGTAACTTCTCATGTGGCAGGTGCAGCATTTTATGTGTGTTGGAGGTGTGGAAGGGGAATATGCGTGAGGTTATGACGGTTGGCGGAGGTGAATGTCGCTGTGCCTCTCCCTATGGCGGTGGTCTTGAGGGGTTGGCATTGCAAAGCTGCTTGATGTTCTCTCTGATGGGACTTCCCGCTTCAGTGTTGGAGGGGTCTTGCACGAAGCGCTCGTTTTGGAGACTTGATGCGCGAAGCGCTCGTTTGAGCCCCGGGGACAAGATGGGCAACTTCCTAGTGCAAATATGTGCTTGTAGCTTCTGGGAGCTCCGGGCTTGGGACTGTGTGGTACAGATGCGGTGCGGGGAGCAGGTTCAGTGAGATCCGGTTCAGAAGTGGTATTATGCGGTGCTGCGGAATTACGTCCCTGATGTCTTTGCGTGCGATTTGGGGCAGCGTTGGTGGAAAGTGGTGAGCGGGACAGTTTGTCGTCGCATGTCGCAAAAAGAGTGTCCTGCAAGAGTGTCCCACAAGAATGTGTCACAAGGGTGTCAAACAATGTTTGGCCGCTTTGTTTTCAAGTACTTGTGTTCATTCGGGTTCGTGGGCCCCATCTTGCCTTGCGCATGGGAACACCAGTCTTTCTCGGAAACAGTGCGCCCAACCGAGGCTCGAGTCATTTTCTCTTCTTGGGCTTTGAGAACCCGGTGGTCAGCTTACGCCGTCCACCAGATCCAACATTGGATGTTTTTTTTTCAGAGCGCCAGTGACAAAGTGCCAATTGACGGCGTTTTTGGAGAGAAGAGCTACATCCTGACAATTGAACCCAAGGAGGCGGGCCAGTGTAGAATGCAGATTGCCGGAGGCGGTTCTGAAGTTGGACGGCAAATAGTAGGATGTTTGCTCAATAGCAAGTTTCTGCCTGCTTAGCTGATGCGCAGGAGTCGGTGCTGAAGAAGGATTATGCCAAACACGAGTTGGGCCGTAGCTTTGACGAACAGAATGCCAGGCAATGCGGCAGTGCAAACCCAGAGTTCAGAGTTAAGTTATACTGATTTATTCTTTAGGTTACAATTTTTCAATGTTTCCTGCGTGTTGCTGACAAGTGGCTTTGCATCAATGTTTTTCCTATGCTAAAGGGTGACGTTTCCAAACACTTGCATGTGGCTTCCTCCAACTGAAGCCGAGCCGTGCAGGAACTATCGCGCGGCGTGTGACCTAGCTCGAAGCTTTGGAGTTCCCATTGATGAATTTCCTGGTGTCTATCGCGCCCTGGCTTGAATGGGCGTCCTTCCACCAAACGCCAGCTCGCATATATCCAAAGACTTGCTACTGCATGGCTTGTCGCGTGAATGGGTAACCACAGCTTAGGCCTTTGCTGGCGACAGCGTTGGAGTGAGATTGCCCCCGCTCTCATTTCAGCCGTGGAGAAGAAGCAACAGTTAGAGCCCCTCAAGTACAGCTTGGAGCTTTACGACCCATACAACGAGAAGGCGGAGGAGATCACTTCCGACTTGATGCCCACGCTCGAGATTGATGTTGAGAAGGAACATATTATTCGACGGCGTAACATTAGCACCTGGTCAAGGTATTGAGCTTCCTTAGAAGGAGGGGTAATGGAATATGGAGAAACATGAGGGATATCGAAACAATTCTTTCGACTGTCGCCAAAGCTCAGAGATTGGTAGGATGGGGCCCATAGATGGCCTGAAAAGGGTGGGGTGTTTGGAACGCAAGCAGGCTAAGCATTCAGAGATGGATGGGTCATCAGTCCTTTCTTCATGGGAGGTAAAGGGTCACCGCTATCTTTCTTATTTGGAGAGCCAAGAATGTCGAACATCAACAAGCTTCTTGCGATATGAAGCTCTCTGAGGCGCGCAAAGTCTTCTCTTCATCCACCACATGATGGACAATGCACATCCCACGGATCCCACAGTCTGCAGGGTGACGGTTCGAAGAGGTGCAGATCCCAACTTGGATCTCTTCTACCAGAGGAGTGGCACTGTTGAAGTTGATGGCACTACAAGTCGAAGGAGCTGCGTGATCTATATGGAGCCAGAGAAGGCACATGGGGAAGTTCTGGGGAAGTTGTAACTTAGGCCATTATGACTCAATTGTGACACCTTGGGTTGCTGGCAGGAGGGCGTATGAGTTGAGTTCGTGAACATTGCTTGCAGCTGTTTCCAGTAGTTCAATGTTTGCTCAATAGATTTGACATACTGATTCATCTCGAGCCATGCTGAAGAATCGGTAGCCGTGAGTGGACTTGGTGCAATGGGGATTCCTGAGCTTTATCATGAGTTCCATGGTGCCAGAGCCCTCGAAATGAATTTAGAGTATTGGAACAATTGCAATGGTCTATGAAATTGTCTAGAGTGAGCTGCAACTACGCTCGCCCAACTGTGTCGAGGTGTGCACCGTCGATGTCACCACACAGGAGACGGGGGCAATGTGTGTCTGGGATTTGCTCAAGAAAATCGTCCAACATCTTGACGTGTGTTGGAGGCCATGACGTCCAGAGCTGGGAGACAAAGGATTGCAAGGCAGAGGCGGCCACAGCAGTCCAGAGCTGCGAGACAAATGTAGACACAGGGAGACACATGTAAAGGATTGCAAGCGACATCCAGCCCAGAGCTGGGTGACAAATAAAGGATTGCAAGGCAGAGGCGGATACAGCAGTCTAGAGCTGGGAGACGAATGCAAAGGCACAGCCCAGAGCTGGGAGACAAATACTGCAGGACAGAGCAGCTGGGAGACAAATGTGAAGGGTTGCAAGCGAGAGGGGGGACAACAAGGGAGACAAGAAGGGAGACAAAAGGAAACAGAAGGGAGACAAGGCGGACACAGTGCCCAACAAGAAGGGAGACAAGACCTGAGACAAAGGGAGACAGAAGGGAGACAAGGCGGACACAATGACCAACAAGAAGGGAGACCAAGGGAGACAAGCCGGACGGAAGGCGGACACGCTGCCCGGCAGCAAGGTGGACATTCTTAGAAAGCACTTAGAGCCCCTAACAGTAACCTGTTTGGGGAAGTGC